TGGAACCGACTTTTGTTTCTGCGACTCACGTCAGACTTGAGGTCTTACCCGTCCTTACTTGGAGCGCGAAGGTGCTGCACAAATCGACCGCGTGGGGTGCTGCGCAACTCCAAGCCTATGAAGGACAGCATGTGTTGGATTGTCCAGTTGCATTTTTGGGTGGATTCGCCGGTTCTTTGGAAATGTACAGGCAGCACCGTTCTAGAAACATGTTCTGTGAAGTCAGATTGTCGGCTTGAGAAGCTGTCCATGATGCTGGCTGGCACTTTCCGGGCATGGCAGTGCCAAGGAAGTGTGAACGAACTGAGCAAAAAATAACCTGGCGGGGCGGCAACCACCCACCACAGGCCTGTGAGCTGGCGAGAGTTGAAGGCTCGCTGTCGTCCAGGACGGCAGCAACACAAGGCAGTCGCGGCGAAGGTGAAGCCAAGGCTTAGGGCAACTCTCCATGAAACCAAAAAACGCAAAGAGAACTGGAGGCTGTTTCCAAAGAGCTGTTGGATCAACCTCTTTGGATTGCCAGGCTCCAGAGCGTGCAAACACTTGCGGCTACGGCGGCGTGGGGTCATCTTGAAGCAAGCAGCAGCCAGTCCGGGGACACCGGGAACGCGCGCACAAGTTCCACAAATGGGCCGGAATGGAGAACACCTGGGTTGCCACGGTCACCTCCTGAGCCCATCGTCGGTGATTCCGTGCCAAGCACAACCGAGAGGCGGCGGAGTCAGTTCAATCGGCACAGCGGGGATCCAAAAGCGAAAGAATGACCGGTCTCAATTGCGCCGACGTTTTTGTTAAGTGGCTGGCATGTGAGTCTCGCAACTTTTTTCCTTGGGCTCTCCAATGTTCCAGAATGCATCTGTACATATTCCTGGCTGTCCACCAAGGCAAACAAAGGCTTGTCACTGGTCTCATCGGTCAGGATCTGGAACAAAATGAGGCTTGCCTTTGGCAGTCTGTGCGTATTTGGAGCTCCACCTCAATTGCAAACAGTGTGTTCAGTGTCCATGTGCCTGCCATCTCCACTTTTTAGGAGATCGAAACCTTGAGGAGTGGGCCATTGATCGAGAAAGTCCACTTCTGGATGCAATGTCACGGCATTGACCCGCGGGAGTTGTCGATCGCTTCCTCGGCTCCATGCGGCTTCGGTCCCACAGCGGTCGCGATCGCGAATGGCCGGGTCTGGGGTCATCCAGTCACCCAGCAACTCTAAACAATTGAACCTCCTAAACGAGGGAGACTTCAAAAATAACAGTGTGAGGCCTCCAGAAAAGCAGTCAAAGTCCAGCCTTGGAGAGTCACAAATGCAAGGATAAGAAGCCCATAAGTGCATATGATTTCTGGAGACTCGGGAAAGTGATTTGCCAGGTCAAACCCTAAACTTGCTCTTTAGAGATGTTTCTACCCCTGATGATGTCAATGGCTTTGACTCTGTGAAATGTTAAAACTTAGACCACCCGCTGCACAAGGATTTGGGCAGCTCCACGATCAGCCAAGCAAAGCCACCGGACCTTGGCTCAGGCCCAATGAACAGAAGCAGGCGTTGCGTCGGGCGTTCATTGTGGTACTTTTGGTTGCAGGTGGGGCTTCCTGCCGCTGTTTGGGAACCTCTTTTGCTCTTGGCCATTTGGATCGTTTTAAAGACGAAGCTATGACGTGTCCAATTCTGTCATGGATGCCCCACGTCTCCAAAACATCACTGCTGAACTTGACAGCTCATCGCTCATCTTCACTATTACCCAACTTTGCTAAAGGAAATATGTTCCGTTTGACTGTCCGAACGCTCCCAGTCCAGATGAGGTGGAGGCTGAAGCTGCTCTGCCAGAAGTGGACGCTGAACCTCATCCCACCGGTGGACGCTGAAAGTGTTTCTCCCTCGATTCCACGTGGACGCCAGCCACTGGACGACTAGGGTGACTAGGGCAAAGGCTGCCACGATCGAAATCGACCTGGCAAAGCGACATTCTCTTCACTTCCGCAGCAATGCAGTTGAGTCGGGTGTGATCTTTAGACACAGACCTCCCTTGTTGTTCTTCAGGTTTTGCTGTTGATTGATGTTCAAACGGGTTTGACCTTCCGATGCCCGGCCTTGCTCTTCCAACCTGAAACTGGCTTTCTGTGAGGACCTTTTCTTCTGTTGGCGCACAAAAAGGTCACAAAAAGGGACAAAACAAGTACCGGAACATTCTTAGAGGTATTTCCTTCCTATGAATGTTTTCTGGGTAGTTTTACAGCAGCCGGTACAAGCGTCGGGGTTTAGTCACCCGGATTTGCAGAAAGTCACCCGGCCGCATGTAAACGCAGCATTAGTCAAAAGTCACCCGGCGTGCAAAAAGTATACCGTTTTATGTTAAAACACCATGTAATCACAGTTTGGTCACCTTCCCTCTAACCTGCATGGAAACGAAGCATCCAAACAATGGTGTTCAACTGATATTCCAAAGTTATTCTTCCAATCATATTCACATCTTGCACCTAAACCGCATGTAAACGCAGCATCCAAACAATGTTGTTGACCTGACACTCTTCCAGTTATATTATATATATATATATTCGCTGGCTCAGCTATTATCGGCGTTCCATGTTCATTCTGAATGCTGTCACAACAAAGAAACTGCCTTCTTCCCAGCAAATAGTTCAACGACATCCCCGATACTCCCCATGCACCTGCACATGCCTGTGTTGCAAAATGGAAGACTCATGTGGGCAGGCCTCAGCCATCCACCAGCATCTGCACATGAAATCATCCAACCAAAACTAAATTGTCCATGTCCAACAATGCTGAGGGCAACACATCAAACAACTGGCACACTGCTGACCTCAAAAGCTTTGGAGGCAGCATGATTCTTCTGGTTCCCCTCCAGCCAATCATCAAAAATTGTATTTGTGCGGCTGTGCAACACAGCCCAAAAGATGTGCCCGTGCTCATCAAAAACGGTCACATCCATAAAGCAATGGTCCTGCCTGAAAAACAAAGGCTGCAAAGCACATACTACATCGCACGACTAAACACAGCTGACATCAATTTAAAAAAATACACCAGCATAGACCCAGATAGCTAGGCAGAGTCCCACGACCTGTTGACATGCGACTGGCTGGAACAAGAATGTACGCAGCTTGCGCAGCCACCTTACGGCACCTCCACGGCGCGCACAATCAGCTGACACCAGCACCGGTGCACTTTGCCAGCTGACAACACCGGCAGCGGCACCAGCACCCGACCAGCGCCGCCGCCCGTCTTAAACGCGTGCTCAGCCAGCTCACAGCACCAGCACCCAGGACCACAACACCAGCACCAGCACCGACACCCTTTCGAAAGCGCGCGCGCAGCCAGCTCATTCTTATTTGCAGCAAGAATTCCACAGCAGCTATCCCTATTTGGGGAATAACACCGTATGATTTTGCGCGTATAAGTTTATGCGCACATAAGTACGCGCGCAAACAGCAAAGCCCGTAAGTGTCATTGGCCCAAGGCCAAGCAGTATCCAGCGCCACTATTGACTTTGCAGCACGCTTGAAGCAACGATCTGCAGAACGATAAGGCCGTATGATCTTGCGCGTATAAGTTTATGCGCACAAAAGTATGCGCACAAACGGCAAAGCCCGTAGGCTTCACGCGCCCAAGGCCAAGCAGTATCCACGACTATTGTGTGTGTAGCATGCTGGAACACGCTAACACAATGGTCGGTTGAGAGCCTGATGTTGCGCATAGAACATTATACGTACAAAAGTATGCGCGCAAACAGTGCAGCCCTTGACACAGCTGTCGGCCAAAACAAAACCTGAAGAGCGCAAATACCCCCACAGCGCTAATAGACAAAGAACGCTCAAGCGACGACCCCGTATGATGTTGCGCGCATAAGGCGCCAGCACGCCAGCTCACGGCGCCCAGCACCAGCACCAGCACCCAGCCCAGCACCAGCACCCAGCACCCGGCACCCTGTCTCCACCACGCGCGCAGCAGTCTTCACCACGCGCACTGCCAGCTCACACCACCGGCGCCGGCGCCCGCTGTCTCCACCACGCACACTGCCAGCACCCAGCACCGGCAACCGGCACCCTGTCTCCACCACGTGCACAGCCAACTCACAGCACCAGCACCGGCGCCGGCACTCGGCACCCAACACCGCCACCCTGTCTCCACCAGCTCACAGCACCAGCACCAGCACCGGCACCCTGTCTCCAGCACGTGCACAGCCAGCACCCGGCACCGGCACCGTGTCTCCACCACGTGCACAGCTCACAGCACCAGCGCCAGCACCGGCAACCTGTCTCGAAAGCGCGCGCAGGCAGCTCTCATTGGTAATTGAAGTAACAACCCCATAGCTTCGCTATCTGGGAAAAAGATCCGAAAATAGACCCCCTCACATATGCAAGCTACACCACCAGCACCAGCACTGGCGCCCAGCACCAGCACCAGCACCGGCACCCGGCACCAGCACCGGCAACCTGTCTCCACCACGTGCACAGCCAGCTCACAGCACCAGCACCAGCACCGGCACCAGCAATTTGCCCCCACCACATGCACAGCCAGTACCAGCACCAGCACCGGCACCCGGCACCCAGCACCAGCAATTTGTCTCCACCACATGCACAGCCAGCTCACAGCACCAGCCCACCCAGCACCCGGCACCGGCACCAGCACCAGCACCTGTCTCCACCACGTGCAAAGCCAGCACCCAGCACCAGCAACCTGTCTCCACCGCGTGCACAGCCAGCTCACAGTACCAGCACCAGCACCGGCACCCGGCACCCAGCACCAGCAACCTGTCTCCACCGCGTGCACAGCCAGCTCACAGCACCAGCACCAGCACCGGCACCCAGCACCAGTAACCTGTCTCGAAAGCGCGCACGGGCAACTCATTGTTATTTGAAGTAAGAACGCCATAATAGCTTCACTATCTGGGGAAACAACAACAACAACAACAACAACAACAACACGGGACACGTGCGGCGCGAAGCCAACAGAAGCATACAAAACCTGCTTTATACATCTGTGCCCTCTAAGCCTCTGGCAGCACCGACTTGAAGGCTGCCGTTTGGAGTGTGATTTGAGGGGCTCGTAGACAGGGAAACCTCGAAACGGAACGCCACCGAACGCACTCCACCCGCTCGCTGCTCCACCCTCGCTGCATTCCGAGCCACGGAAGTTGGACCCCCGAGTCGTGGGGCGCCAAGGCTTCAAAGTGTGAAACCTTCAAGACGTGAGCCCTGGAACATGTGAGACGTGAAACATGTGGGTACGACTTGCCTCTGCATTGTACGACTTGTCTCGGCGCTTTTGACGAGAAGATGGTTTGCCCTGGTGAAGGCTGTTTGGGAGAAAGACTGGCATTGACTCAATGACCATCAAGCTCTATATACACGCTCTAACAATGACGTTTCCTCCACATATCCAGCCGCCGCTTGGCTTTGCTCAACCTGCACCAAATCGGATGATTGCTTTTTAAGAAATCGGGCCATGACTTGCTAAAAATCGTTGAGAGCCCCACACAGCAGCGGCCGTCTACAAGGACCTTGATTGGGATCTTACGTCAACAGCAGTGGAACACTGCACGAACCAACAACACAAATTGTTGACTAAGTAGCTGGCCCCACCAAATCCAGACGTGATTGAGCCAAGACCAAACAGGTGGACTTTGTAGAATCCGTTGGAGAAGCATTCTTGCTTAGCACTTCGGAGTGTTAACAGAACAGTGTAGTCATGAAGACCGAGTGCAGAGTCCAAATCATCTGGCTCAGGGGGTCTGGCCAACAATGCCCATGCTTCACTGGCGCCAATGATGGGCCATAAGCTTTGCGCATAGTGCAATGTCACATATATCCCAGCCAAAGAGTCGTCGCCCCACAAGGCTGCAAACACCCGGCCGCAGGGACTTCTCAGAAATCTGCAGTCTTCTTGGATGGAGCTCTGGCTCCAATCTTCTGGGCTTTGAAGGCTAGATGTCAACAAGACCTCATCTTTCCCACAGGCCAATGATCTACCTCGGAGTTGATAATGAAGAGGACACTTGAGGTTCAATGTCGAGAAAGTACATCGAAGGCATAAAGCAGTATCAAAGAGCTGGATGGAAGCATCCACATTTGCCTCAGTGAAGTCAATTGTTTGGCAGGAAGCACTGGGACCATGCGACAAAGACAATGAGAAGCTCATGCGCAGTGCATCATGAATCTTCCTCAAGTCTGGTAGACCATCTCGACGTCGAAGCTTGCGAACGAAATTCGGAAGGTTACGGGCCAAAAATGAGGCTTGAAGTCTCCGCAAGCGTGCCAAGTACGCCTGTCGCCAACCGGTGGCGACAGAAGATGAAGGTGTCCATCGAAGCCGGTACAACTGCTCCCACACAGCATCTTCAGAACATGTCTCACACAGCTGCCGTGAACATGTTCTCACTGCACACACTTCTCTCACCGCATGTTGCATAGCTGCACACGCTACCCGCACAACCAGTTCCAGAACCAAAGAAGACCGATCTCGAGCACCCACCTGCAGTTTTTGTCTAAGGGCCTGTTGTTCCCTCATCGCCTGTGCACCTCGAGCATATGCCATTCCCTGACCAGATGAGCGCAGTTGTGCAGATGCTTTGGCACGTCCTGGTGGTTTGGGATCTGCCGCAAAGGACTCCTTCACATCAAAAATTTCAGAGTTCCTCGGCACACTCTGGCTACGAATCGCACCTCTTGAACCCTCAGCTCGGTCTGCTCTTCGCGGCACCGCCCTCGTACTTCCAGAATTGGCAAGGGGCACTGATGGCCCACCACTACTTTGGGGTGGGCGCTTTGGGGGCATCGATTTCACGCTTCAGTGCCGATCTGATGGTGGCAATACAGCATCGCGATCATTGCTTGAGCCCTGTGCTGGCCACATGTAGGCTTTACTGGCTGCTGAACCTTTTGCAAACATCAACAAAACGGCACAAAGGGCTCCCTTTTGTCTCCTCAGAATGTTGCAAACAGCATTCGTTCAAAGAGGAGTGAACTCTTTGCACAAACACTGCGGAATCTGCTTCTGAAAGCTCGCCGAAAAGCACTTATATAAGTTCTGTGGTTGGGGAGTTCTATCCTCAAATAACAACTTATCGTTGGGAGGAGGTTTCCAGTCATAAACAGATTCTGGCAGCTGTAATTGTCAATCTGAATCTCAGGCCAATTCGTGTGTGAGGAGCATGACCAGGGCTCCTGTTACAAGGCCTCGAGATGTGTCTTGCCATCTGCTCGGGATTGAGGATGATCCACGATCTTCTATTCTGATCTTTCAAGAGTAGCTAGACTCTGGACGCGGGCAGTATCAGTAGCGCTAACAGAATCTATGATGATCTACGCCTATATCCCAACCAAGCGAAGCTTGTTTCCCAGAGTTTGTACATCTAAGCTCCGATCCTGCAAAGGTGCTCCAATTTTGTCGCTGGGCCACTGCTTCTGGCCTTGCAAAGCAGGAAAACAAACAAGAAATTACGGTTTTTGCGCTTGCATCGCGCAACAGTCTTCAAAGACGAGCTTTCAGGCTGGGTGTCCCTTTCTGTTGGTTGCTCAGGCAGAGACAAGAGCTCTAAAGCGGCCACAGAGGTCATAATCCCGCCCACGATGCAAAGCAAGATGTCCATCCCTACGGTGCTGTGGACTATGGGGTGCTCAAAGAACCTAAGAGCGATGGCCTCCAACCTACCTAGTAGCGTCCTTGCTCCTAGTAAGGCCAGGAGCCCCTAGTAGCGTCCTTGCTCCTAGTAGTAAGACTACTCCGGGCCTTATGCTCCTAATTGCGAACTCATCACTGCCACGGAAAAAAAGCTAGAGTCCTGGGCCGGCAAGTGCTCCGGGAGGCAGCAAAGTTACCTAAGCAAAACTCTGGGTCGCAGCAATCTCAACCTAAGACACAACGATTATGTTTGTTCGCAAAAAACAATCAATGCCTTTGTCTGCAAATGTATGCAAATGTCAATTTTGGCCGTGACTCGATGAATGTTCCTTTTGCCCCTGGAGACCCCGGCAGCGATGAAGGCGCCCAGCGGTTCCGCCAGGCCCGAGAGCGTGGCCTGGCGCTTCGCCGGCGCTTCGGCAAGGACAGGCCCGACGTTTTGGAAGATTTGGGCTGAGAAAAACACATCCTAAAACCACTGGCTTTTGAGTATGGTAAAACTGTATTTTTTACTGCATTGTAGTACTTACTTTATGGTAAAACCTTTTGAGTATGGTCAATTACAATGCACTGTCCCTACTAGGCGTGCGGCCCATCTGCAGCCGGCCCATCCGCGGCCCCGGTGAAGGTTTGAGATCCGCAGCCCGCTCCGGTTCTCTGAGGTGCCAACCATTAACATTGCCTTTCGGCGATCATTGGTGGCCTCAAGGACCTCATCCACAAGCACCAAGCGGCAAGACTCATCCAAGAGCGGCCAAAACAACTCGAAAGGCTCAAGAAGTGAACTGGTGGCAGCCCCATCCTTTCACCACGGTTTTTGAGGAGTACAAGAAGTTGTTCTTTTCCAGCCCTGTCTTCCTCTTTCCTTTCTCTAAAACCTGCGTTTTTACACAGCACCCACATTGCCAGGGTCAGATCCGCTGTCTGCCGTCTTGCTGCTGGCATTGCAATAGCAATGCCCTCAGGAATGTTGTGCACCGCGATTGCGGCCATGACCTGAAAAGACTGAGAATTGAAGTTGTAAAAATTAAAATCTCAGCTCTGTATGGCTGAAACCCATGGCTGTTTTGGTATTCTGGATTCATCCAGCCATAAACAGCTGACATTTCATTTGACTGTGGCGAAAACCAAGAAGCTTGGCTCGAGCATCGCTTTCTGTAAGCATTCCGCAGCATATCTCTCAACCGTGACCATTGGTTTTACGTTAAGCTGAGAGTCACACAACAACACCCAAGCGTTCGCTTTGAAGCGAGGAAACCTCAAGAAGTGGATGTTCGCATGGACGTCGGCTTCGACTGCACGATGCTTCGACTTTGCCCAGCACTCCAACTGCCAGTCCTTCAGGAAAGTTGTGGGCAGTGAGCGCTAGCCTGAGGGCTTGCTGCGCGACGACGTGCGGAGGCGACGACGTGTGTCTTTTGGTGGAAACATCTCTGAGGTAAAGGACATCATCAGAAATGCTAACCGCCATTGCCTGCCACTCCATGGCACAAGGAAGTGTGCAAAACAAATCTCAATCACCTGAGATTAGCAAAAAATAAGAAAACAAAATATGCCGACAGCAACTGCGAATGCTTCACCCGCCTTGCTTTCGGTTCCACGTTATCTCTAGCCTAGGTCCAACACATGCCACCAAAGTTTGCTCGGTTGATCTTCGGCAGTTGGTGGCACAATGTCTGCAAGTTCTGAGAGTGTCACATGCCCCTTCTCCACATCGTCCTGGCGCTGAAGTGGTTTGCAGGTAGCTTCCATGCGGGACAAGCAGGCCTCATCCTTCTTTCCACAAGCCATCTCTGGCTCTGAAACAAATCTCCTGCCGCTCAAGCGTTCATAACTATAGAGAAAGTGCTGATCTTGACAACACGATGAAGTGACCCCTTGGTTGGTCCTAGGCGTTCCCTTACCCTCCCCTAAACCGCGCCTAAGGACCATAAGCTAAGAAACCCAAAGAGGCCGGACAGGCTTGCCTCACACAGGGTCTCTGATCAGGCAGAGAGATCTGCTGACGAGAATGACCACAACCTGTAGCCACTGCCCATGGAAGAATGGCGGAACAAAGAGTTCCACCTCAGAGACAGTCAGGCCATGCCCGAACTCTCCAACAATCTGTTCAAGTCTGAATGAAGAAGCACTTGGTCCAATCTGTTCAAGTCTGGAGAGCCAACCAAGGAGACAGTGAGCATCACCTGGCAGCTCTAATATCTATTTGGTTGGACCAGAAATGAAGTAAACGAAGCCAGCAGAACACCGGCCGCCAAAGCCAAAGCAAAAGCCTCAAGGCATTCTAGCTTTACATCTAGCACACATGCAAGAAATGTCAAAGGGCTTTCAGGTCTTACAGTGATCTCGCAAAAGCTTAAAGGCTTATGTCCTCATCATCTCATCTTCATTCTTCAGGTTCTCATCCTCATCATCTTCGTCTCCGGTCTTTTTAGGTTGTGGCCATTTGACCAGCACTTGGTGAGCCACGGAGTAACAAAACCTCGTGCTCGACTCATTCGCTAGTACGGACGTGAAAAGAGGTGCCAAAATCTGGGGAGAGGACAATGCCAGCTCCAAGTGAGGTTGACAAGCCTGCGACCTTGGTGTTTCTGGGCTGGCTCCAAAATGGAAAGCCATGGATGTCTGTTTTGTTGCCACTGGTCACATAATAAGTCTCTGAAAACTTCAAAGTGCTGAAGATCTGCGACCCGCGGCCAACGATCGCAGAATTGCCACGGCTTTGCTTTCGGCCTGTCGATTCACCTAGGTGGTCTGCGCCGGGCTGCCACCATCGGGTCCCTTTAGTCTGAGGAGCTCACGATGAACTGTGGATCTAAGTCACGGAGAGGAATGGGTGCTTTAACACCTCAAAATCGGAGGCGAACAGATCCAACAGGTCCAACAAATCCAAGACCATCTCAGGGTGCTACCCCATTCTGCATGAGCTGTTGGCACATGAGGTACATTGTGCAGAAGATCTGCCAGGAACGTTCGGTCAAAGCGAACTTCGATCACCCATCGAACAAACTTCCCGCCTGGATGGGCAGCGGGGAAAGCTGGAAAATCAGGCACCTGCAACGTACAAAGCCTTTTCAGATTTCCACTGCCGGTTGTATCAAACCAACTGCATGCCAGCTCTGCCGCTTGAACTTCATTGAAGTGCAATGCACATGCACACACCTGGGTGTGCACCAAATCAGAAACCACTTCGACCGGTCTGCCGTCAGTGAAAGATTCCAATAGCTGGCCAGTAATTGCATGACTCTCTGTTCCTACTATATAACCATTCCGTAGAGTTGACTGGTTTCCTGGGTTGGACACAGGTTGACACAAAGAAGTCTCAAAATGATGCAAAATGTTTGTACAGGATTGGCCAGGTGCCTGATACCGGTGTTCGTGAACCTGCAATGCGATCGACCCCTATCTAAAATCTAAACATCTGTCTGTTTGCGTTCCACCAAGTGTTGAAAACCAGCAGACCAGTCAGTGTTGGGCATCTGCCCAACTACGTCTGGCATACCCACAAACCAAACATCGTAAGTCGTGTCTATCCCGGATTTCTCCATACCTGGGTAGGAACAGTAGGTTCACCGTAAGGCCGCCGTAGGGCCACCACCGGCCATGTGGCTTGGTCTGTTCGTTTGCACCACTTGGGCGATGTATCAAGCGCACAACGTCTGAGGTCGAAGCGATGCACAACGCATGCATGGCAAAAGTCCACATGTCTTTGGACTGCAAGGCTTTGGCGCAATTAATTGCTGTTGGCTGGCTAAGGTCCCTTTTTGTAGGTCATTCACTATGATCTAAGAAGCCCAAGCCCTTCTTGGATCTAAAGAAAGAATCTACAAACCGACTTTCTAAGCATCCTTCACCCGCACATGTTTGTCAATTTCTTCGTTCGCATCCTCGAACATTTGAGAACACCTCCGAATGGATTTATATATGTACTGTATGTAGCTTTTGAGCGGGACAGGAGTCAAACATGATTTGACAGGATGTTCTGCATCACTAGCGTACACAGTGTGTGGGTCAAAAGAAGCTATCTTTAGGCACTTAAATCACAATCCCCTCGGTACCAAGAATCCAAAATGCATTCGGGGGTCTAATCTGTTCTTTTGACCCACACCCAATTGCAAAGTGCTCAACAAGAGGCAATCTCACAAACCAACAGATTGGCCTTGGCGCCCATTTTAAGAAAAGCTCTGGTCGCGAAGTGCAGGCGGTGTAAAGCCATCCTTTTTCACCTGACGAGAGAGAACACTCTGAAACACCTACAACCAGTGCAACTGACAGTAGATCAAAAGCCAACACTCCCCATGTACCCCTAATCGGCAGATTCTAGAAATGTTCGCCTATCCTACGGCGCTTGCGGACAACGTTCACTCAGACGCCCGCCCCCTTACCACATCTTGGTCTAGGACCAGGTACAGAATGGAGGGGTCATACAAAAGGGTCACACACACAATTGACACAATGTCATGGAAAAGCCTTCAAAATATCCAAATCAACCAAGCACAGAAAGAAGCTGGTCCAAGGCAAACAAGACCGCAAAACCAAAAAAGGACAGTGTGACAATCGCACATGTGCAATTGCACAGCAACATCCAAAAAAAACAAACTATATATATATATAGTATGTTTATATTACATAGTATTACATAAACGATATATGTGCTCATGTTCAACGTGAATCACCCAACCGGATCAGGATCTGCGATCTTTCCCACGCTACGTTCTTGCCAACTTTATGGTTGAAAACATGTAATTATGTGTTCAACTTAATTTTCCATCAATGGCATATCCCACAATGGTTCTTGCTTTTGAATGTGGACAGGTCGTCAGAATGAAAGGGCGGCTGGCTTTGCGCTTCCAAACTTAAAATCCAAGATTGCGTTCGCAAAGTCTGGACGTGGGATAATAGGTCTGGATGTAAGACCGCATTACGTTCACTGAATCCCAGCTTGAGAAGGCTTTTGGCTCCGAAAGAATTGCCAACATCGATCAACCAGGTGTCAGGTGACTCGTAAGGTGGTCGACTTGGCCGATGCTCAGAATCCGGTAGAACCGGCTCAGCCCCTCGGAGTGGTCGCTGCACGGTACATTGTGCAACCATTAAAGGTGTAACAGTTACACCTGTTTACACTAGTTTAAGGTGTAACCACGATACAAGATGATACAAGTTTGTTTTCCTGTGTCTTTTTTTGGGGGGTTGACTCAGGTTCCACATAGTTCCACTATGTGCACTTCGACCAGCAACCTTTCCGAGCCTTCACTGCACCTCTCTTTCCTGGCTTGTAGATCACCGAAGGCTTTTGGGGTCGGAAGCTGCGACGTTCTTCCCTGAGATTGGGTTGACCCGGTGAGCCCTGGCCAAGCCCGTAGAGGCTCGATTCTCGTTTGGGCCGTGCTTGATCCAGTTCTTCTTGGGAAGGCAGCTTCACCATTCCTTGCCACAGGTCAACTAGAAAAGTACACTCACCGGCACATGACAAAATAGATTCGAAGAAAGCATCAAAAGCACCCTCTGTGTGCACACCAGGAATCGACCTTGCCGCTGATCAAACCAGAGATTACCATGGCCCTCACGTTGCAAATATGCAAAGCTATGGCAAGGACTCACAGACTTTACATGGCATTCGGCGACAGCTCCCGGTTTGAGGTCAATAAACTCCTTCAAATCCTCATGTACCAGCACGGCCCCCGTAACAGTGTGATTCAGCTTGAAATACGCAGCATCAGGTTTCTTTGAAACCAACATTGCTTCCAATTTCATTCCACTTCGAAGGGAGCTTTCCAGCGGGAGTTCTCTGCAGTTCATGCGAGCATAGTCCGTGTAGTGGGCACTGCGCCTCTGCACCAAAGTTCCAGAGGGGTCTCCAAGTTCCTTGTTCAAGGTGGCTTGCAAACGGGTCAAATGCACCACGCCTTCAACGGCCTGACGGATCACCTGTGGCTGCAGTGGCCTTTGGTGCCATTGTGAAGGCGTTAACGTGTTCCGCTCCAAACGATCCCATCGGTGTAGTCGGTAGGTGCTCAAAGAACAGCTCCTGATGATCTCTGCCAGGCTGGCTTGGTACTCTTCGAGCCCCTCGCGTTCCAGCCAGGTAGTAAAAGCCACCTGTATGTCATAGACTGAATAGGTGGGGATATGCAATTGATTCAGGAGAAATGAAACTGCTTCACGACAGTCATGGAAAACCTTTACAAGGCTCGTGCTTGTAAAGACGGGTCGGAAGGGCTCCAGGATCTCAAGACCTCCTATTTCAACATCAACGAGGGAAACGTCATCCTCAGTTGCCACTTGAAGTAATGCAAGCTTTCCAAAGCGTCCAATCTTCTCACCACTGCAATCCAATCCAATGCTGTGGTGCGACGAATCCAGTATCCTTTGCGCCAACATCTCACTCTGCTGTACAGTCGTAAGCAAGCGAACTGGAACTCTATGGATGCTTTCCTCCTCAAGCTGCTGCATGGGAAAAGGGTGGGCCAGGTTTCAGCTTTTGAGGTTTTCCTAATGCTATACTGCAGAAAATATCATTGCTCAAGAGAACGCAACAATTTGGGGGCTCGTCTCATACCTCTTTTGACAGAAGCATCACGAGGACACAAACAGGACAGCGTCAGGGCGAAACATGCGAACCTAAAATTGTACATCCTTGGATTGATTTGCATGTTGGTGGCTGGGGGATAGCTCTTGCTCACCGTTTACTCAGTCACTCTACACTATAAACAGCACTGTCTGGCCAACTGCCGTCTGATTGTCCAGGCCATCAGCAAGAACAAACAGTTTCTGTTGACAGGTGTGCAACTGGTCCCAAATAGGCATTGCCAACGATCCGCCCGCCTTCACCGCATCGTTCGGCGCCTCCGCCGTGCTCGGTGCCGCAGGTGGCGCCGTCGTGGGTGCCCGCTGCAGCCGCGTGAGCTCCTTCCGGTAGGCCGCGGGCCACTCGGAGCGCGTGGTCTTTGAACGCCTCAACAACAATTACAAATGGGAAGCTAGGAGCAAGAAGCTACTAGGAGCAAAGGGCATCGCAACTAGGAGCAAGGACGCTACTAGGGGCTCCTGGCATTACTACTAGGAGCAAGAAGGTACTAGGTGGAGGCCATCGCTATTAGGTTGGAGGCCATCGCTACTAGGTTGGAGGCCATCGCTACTAGGAGCAAAAAGCCGGTGAGCCCAGCGTAAGATATGCGGAGCCATGTCATCTTCAAAGCTCCGAGGCAACCACCAGCGCAGTTGGACACCATCCCAGAAAGCCCTTGAACATCTGGCGATCCCTATTGGTCGCATTGTTCATCTTTCTGTGCCTGGTCTCTGTGTGAGATGTGGAAATGTGTCCCCGATACCTTTGGTATAGCCACTGTTTGGGGATGGGGCAGCTATCCAGTTCTCCAACCTTGAGCCAACCAAATCTCTGTCTTTTTGTTGCTTTGTTTGTGGACTTGAACTTGTGCGATTTCGGCCATCTCCTGTTAAGAGCACCTGTTGTCTCATGCTTACTTTTTGGCCCGCCATTACAAGTACAGTCCAATGAGCAAGCAGGCTTGAAGCCAATGACAGCTGCAATACCCGCGAGGTCGTTTTCGTTTTGGAGAAAGCACGGCCGCACGACTTCTGATTCTGTACCTAAAAGATTTCTTTTAAGCTCGCTCCCCCCTCCTTACTTAATTAACTTGAGAGGAGGGAGACACGAAAGGTAGGACAGCGGGAAGAGAAAAGAACGCGAGAGGCAGGAACAAAAATGCAATGTTCGACATGGTGATTTTTCCCCTCGGAGGCGACCTTTCGTAAATATATGTTCATATGCACTCTAAATGTTCAAACATATGCTCTCGAAATGTTCAAAAAGGTTCTTAGGAAAACAAACTTGCCCCATGGCTCAGATCATCGGTGAGCATTGAATCGGAACATCATAGGATTTGAACTATCCTGAAACCATAAGAGGCTCACGAAGACGCTCCCCAGGAGAGAATTGACGTGCTTCACAAAACAAACTCTAGGTATGTATCCCCTCGGGGAACACCTTTCGTGATTAGAATTTCATATTCACTCTTTCTAAATGTTCAAGAGGGTTTCAACTATGAAATCATGAGAGGCTCACGAAGACGTTCTCCAGGAGAGAATTGATTTTAGAGGGGGGGAGGGGGGGGGGGTCTGAATTGAGCGATCAATTATTAGACCCGGACGTCCCAACACTTGCTTCGCAAGACAAACTCAAGGTATCCCCTAAAGGGCTACCTTTCGTGATTAGGCGCCTACTTAATTAAGTAAAGGAGAGGTCGCTAGTACCTTACTTGTACGCTACTAGCATGGACGCAGGATAGCTCACACTTCTTCAAGAAAGCTCCGGGCTTCCTTGAAGAAGCGCTCGCACTATTCATTTGGTTTCTAGATTTTTTAGGCAAACTTAACATGAAGCTGCAAGCAGTAGCCCTTCTGCTGGCCCCTTTTGAGTTCGACGCTAATCCATCTGTATTTCGCTTGCACAAACACCAGCGCCGGTGTCTGCAAACGTTGGCCAGTCCAATATGTTGGACGGGCTGATCTGTTTTGCTTCACAACACTGCAAGTTTGAAGTCCTCACAGTAGATGTTCGCTCGAGAATGTGGGGATCATACACACACAGTGTCAGGGTCCTCCACCAGAATGCGGCTCACGCCCAATTCTCGCGCTTCTGCCTGGCTTTTATTCATCCCCAAGAAGAAACATGTATTGTAAAAAATAACAAACAAACAATTCAAGATTGTACGCAAATTCCTTAATACCAGGTCATCTAAACCCTGTTGGCCTCAAGCCACTCTGCAACAGGCAAGACCTTTTTGTCAGAGGACACCTGAGCGCAACAGAGATCCCATTGCTCAACAAACCGACCACGCAAGTGCCGCCCGTGTGCGGCATGAGCTGTGAACCATCGACTGTGCCCCCAGTCGCCAGCGACCGTGACTCATCTAAAAAACACACGGCCTGTCAAACCACCCTGTCCAACGGCCTGCGGCATCACGAGTTCTTGGCCTCAGAATATTTTTTGAGCTTCCCAACAACCAATCCAGTCATGTTGAAGTGTCCTATCCCAAAGCTAAATTGTTGAAGGTCAGCTTTATCCCAAAGTGCTTAAAGAATTGCGAAGGTAGTCGTTCGCAGCAGGCGTTGCTGGCGCAAGCCCAGCCGAGCCGAGTCCAGCCCCCGACTGAGAGTCCAGCAGAGCAACACCTGGCTCTGCAGCGATCCATTCAGAGCTTTCGATCTGCTCGATCTGCTTGATATGGTAAGAGTATAGTATATCAGTATATCTAAGGACCTCACACATTCCTGGTAGAACTTCATCGTCTTCCCATCCAGCACCTTCTGAAGGACCTGCATCAAAGCTTCACCGGTCCTCTGAAGCACAAGCCATCAACACCCATCTGGCCTTGTCATCAATGGTGCCAGACATCCTTGTCCACTCAAAGGCAAAGGATTGGTTTTAGGTGTTTGCACGGAGACAGGAACACTTGGGAATCAACTGCATTTCTGCTGGGCAAACCCTACTAGTGACCTAGCCTGAAAAACTTGTCTTTGGGATCCTTCGACCGGACCGTTACTGCCCTCATAAGAATTGCAGCTCTGCATAGATAGCAAAACTGTATACAATGTAGGACAGACAGTTAGAATATGGAATCCAAATATTTCCGATTTAAATAGATACCCCAAACCTTTCAACATCGATGACCCTGGGGATGACCCTCGCAGATAGAATATGGGCCTTTCAGAAAGCAGGGAAACATATTCTAACTGTCAGTCCAAAACCAGGATACCTTGCAGAGACAAAGCTAGGCCTCCAAACCTAATACTGTAGCGATGGCCCCCTAATAGCGATGGCGAGCGATGGCCTCCAGCTTTAGACCGATGGCCCAGCTTAAGACCGATGGCAGTAATAGCAATGGCCTCCAACTTAAGAGAGATGGCCTCCAACCTAATAGCAATGGCAACTGCCTCCACCCTAAGAGCGATGGCCTCCAACC